ACAAAAGAGACCTTGTACCCAAACCAACCACCCAACATTAGTGAATGAACAATGAACTTAACTATATTTGTTTCAGTTTAAATTCTCTTCCTCTCTCTATCTTTCCATAAATACATGAGAATTTTCACCTTGGGATGTATATCAGTCAGGGTCCAATCAAAAGAAAGAAACCACACACTAATTTGAATAAGAAAAATTTAACAGAAAGAATTATTAACTATAAGATTGGAAAAATGGGGGATTGGCTACTACCAGATAAATAGAACTCTAAGAAACATAGAGCTGGCAGATAGAAGGAGCAGTTGTCCCCTATGGTTTATGCAGAGAGCCTGAGGAAGAACCCCCATCCTTCCACTCCACCCTGCCCTGGGGCTGAGATGCAGGCATTTTTGAGAAGGCATGGCCAAGGCTCACGGGAAGGCAGGGAAATTGCTGTGGTGCCATGCCAGAGGAACTTGCTGGAAATCTGCCCTTTGGAGTGCCAGGGAAAGCTGTTCACAGGGTAGTGTCTCTGTGACTTACAAGATTACAAGAGTGCCCTCGGGTGGGGGGATATGGAGATAAGTTGCTGGCCACTAGGTGCTGCAGACTAGGTCTACTGAGAAGCTTGGAGCTGGGGAAGCCACCCTTGCTGCAGGTACTAGACACCAGGGAAGCTCTGGGTGCCACCAGAAACCGGGTGCTGGAAAACCCTACCAGGTGCAAGAGACAAGAGAGCCTCCATACCAGAAAGAAAAGCCCCTTCCTCCTGCAACGTCTCTTCAGTGCCTTCTACTAACACAGCTAGATACTATACCAGCTGCCAAATGAAAACTATTTAAGGGGCTCTCTACATTCTTCAAGAGCAGGCAATGAAGAGTAAATTTGGAGCCAAGAAGCAAAGGATGACAGCCAGTTGCACTTCATCTGAGATTCTTGTGGTACTGAGGCAACTAAACTACCTACAACAATGCTCCAAACCCAGTTGACTGCAGTGTCACAAGACTGGTTGCTATTTGGGGCAGCCTTTCCAAAGAGAGGCATACAATATTTAAAAGAGCAAAAAAAGGAAAAAAAAATGATGAAAGGTAATCTGTTGCTACCACAACACAAAGCTGTGCATCCTTAACTGAAATTTCTTGTCCCAAACAATGAATATGTGCTCATGAGATTGCACAATGTATAACGTGACCCAACTGCAGCATGGTGTTCCTGGATTTTAATCTCCTGAACTTCCTTGTTCATTAAGTTATGTTTGTCTGAATCACAATATTTACAAGTTAAATATTTAAAACCTGAGTCATCTTGGAATTAGAAAGTATTTAGTGCCAATACATTTCTTTCATAATTATAATAACTCTAAACTAGTTCAATAATTAATTTTAAAAAGCTGTCTCTAAAGATTTTTATTTATTGAGAAGAGACATACCAAAGACCACTCAAAACTCATAGCTTTAAATAATTTGAAGGTGGTATCTCTGTTTTCTTTTTTACTCTTCTAGAAGGTTCTAGTTCTGCAAACAAGTAAGCTAAATCACTGGGAAACGTGCTAAACACTTATGGACAATGAACAGAGCCAAGGAATGTTAGAGGTGGACAAGACCTTGGGGACCAGTTAGGTGGTTCCATTTTTCCTGGGGTGGGGAAACTGAGTCCCAGGGATCTTTTCCCCAATTCACAGGGCTCCTGAATGGCTACACTGGAAGTAGATCCAAGGTCTTACAATTCTCTCTAAATTTTCTTCATGGTCACCTCAAAAAGAAGTCATGCTATACTCTACATTTTCTAGAGTAAATGTGAGGATGTGAGGAAGGAAATAAAGGGGAAAGAGTTAAGTAAAACCTGCTTCTTGCTGAAACTCCACCAGGTGCCCTGCTGGAATCCCTCTTGGAAGAGGTAAGTTGGAGGGAAGCCATTTTTTCCATTCTCATTTCTCCCCAGTGGCCAGTGTCTGGGGTGATCAAATGCAAAACACTTGAAATGTCTGAATTCTAAAAGGAAACAGCTGAAGGCATAATCTTGTCTTAGGATGATGTAAGAGGCAAGAATCTGAATCATATTTTCCCTTTATTTTGCTTTCTTGTTGTTGTTTCTTTTTGTATTTGTTGCTTTGGTTTGTTTTGGACATTTAAAGGGTTGGACTGTCTGGGTAATGTAGTCACTCACAACTAGGGAGAGAGCATACTCATGGTATGAATTATAAACTAGCATCTTTCAAACTTACCCAAGAATTTGGATATAATCAGGATACTCATTGGCCATTTATCTTTTCAAGTCACTGTAAATAATTTTTTCTAGAATCATGAGTTTTGAATTAGCCCTCTAAAAGGCAATTTAAAAAGTGTATAATTTTAAATACAAATGTGCTCATCAGAGTATTTAACAAACATAAACCTTAACCTTCTAAGAAAAAAAAATTTCATCAATTCCTAGAATGGTAGACTTGGGAAGAGGGGGAGATTGCTATTTTTGAGATAATCTGTTGTAGCCCTATCCCTTTATTAGTGAAGAAATGAAGATCCAGTCCCAGTCATTTGACTTAATATGATTGGCGTTTGCATTACTTCTTTTCCAACTATACCTTCTCTCTTCCCCACCTCTCCTTTTGGATGTGAGATACTAGCATAGATAATAGTACAGACAATAGTATAGACCTGCATCTGCAAAAAGAACCTTTCTCTTGGTACACAATGACATCTATGTTCCCTGTGCTGCTGAAATAAATGTGTGTCTCATTGCATCAGGCTGTCAAAACATGCTGGCGCTGATGAAATGCAGAATCTTTTCCTCTCATACTGTGGAACTGGGCATAAGACCCAGTAGAGAAATGGACCCAAGAACCTGGCTCCATCCAGCAGCCATGCCAGAAGCACTAACTAAATCTAAAAACCACAGATCCAATTAACTAATCCCTTTCCTGAGAGTGCCAAGAAGAAATAATCTTGTCACTACTCTTTGGCCATGAATCCTGATCCAATGTTCAATATTCTTTTGATTTTTCTAGAGCCTTCCAAAAAAGAAAAAGACATTATTTCAAGGCTACTCCCTATTGTTCTGTTTTCTACATTCTTTTTGTTTGTTTGTTTGTTTTTTGATACAGTCTCACTGTCTTGCCCAGGCTAGAGTGCTGTGGCATCAGCTTAGCTCATAGCAACCTCAAATTCCTGAGCTCAAGCGATCATCCTGCCTCAGCCTCTCAGATAGCTGGGCCTACAGGCACACACCACCATGCCCAGCTAATTTTTTCTATTTTTTTAGTAGAGATGGGGTCTCATTCTTGCTCAGGCTGGTCTTGAACTCCTGAGCTCCAGCAATCCTCCTGCCTCAGCCTCCCAGAGTGCTAGGATTACAGGCGTGAGCCACCCCGCCAGGCCCTGTTTTCTACGTTTTTGACAGAGGTGTTTTTCATACTCTCCACAACACTTCACTGATAGGACCATATTTATTTTTAATTTCTGCACAGTATTTTAGTTGGTCTCATATATGTTTCATAATTAGATGAACATACAAAGCCAGACTCATTATAGAGGGCAACATGGGTAATGACATCTGGGGACTTTTTTTTCCTAGTGAAAAACATGAAACATTCATCTTCCCATTTATTTTTTTATAGTCACCTAAGAGCCCCAGAAGCAGAGATATTAAATTCCATCTTGGGAAATAACACCAAAACTATCAAGCAATATTCCCCTCTGAACAATACTAAACAAGACTGCACTTCATGACAAACTTTATTCCCTAGTCATAAGAGTGGGATCACAGCTCAAAAAACATGTTCTCAAACAGATGGGATCTACAAAGTGTTTTCCTATCTATCATTTTCACTTTTCTCTGTTTTCTTTTCACTTTCTTGTCACATAAAAATTGGATTGTAGGCTGATTTATTACAGGGGCTGTAGGGCACAACTGGTATTACGTCTAAGATGGTTTCATGTGAGTTTTATCCACAACAGCCAAGAACAAGGTTTCTTATTACCAAATTACCTTCAAAGTAATAAAAGAGTTTTATTAATTAAAAAAATTAAGTGTGAAAATTGCACCACAATGTTACCCCAAACACACATTCTTTTTAGAAGTTTTTCATAGTATTAAACTGATGTGGTGCCAACCAAAACAGAGTTGAATATTTGATTTTGGGGACTATTTTCTTAGTGAAAATATTACTTATTTGGTGAGTGGTTCAGACTGACTTTGAGGTCTAACATAAAGGATGGGGTGAATCAGGCCCTAAAGACTGTCTGCCTGTTTAATCCAGATCAAATCAAGAGCTAGCTTACTGGCTTATTGACCCTTGACCTCTGGGCTGAGACTTCCAGAATGCTCGCCAGCATGGTGGCAGCTCTTGTTTGCCTTCAAGTAGAATGTTTTGAGACCCTAATGAAAAATAATGCTAATTTGTAAGGCAAACTTTCAAGTCAAAATTGTCTGAGTTTTCTGCTGCTTATAGAAATCTGAGCTAAAAGTAAGGCCCACACTCCCTGCCACTGGGTTTAATAACAGAAAACAAAGAAACCGTATAAACAGACCCCTTTTATTGACTATAGGCCCCATCTTCTCCCTTCTTGAAACATGAGTCATCCGGGCATAGAACTTACACCATAAGCAGAAACCAGATACCCTTAGAATCATTAGTATCTCCGACACTAATTGGATTAAAAATCACGAAGCATACTCACAGACTGGAGCATTCAAATCAAATTAGCCACCATCTTATTTTTTTAAAAATAAGGAATTAGTGCCTTGTGTGTACATTATCATCACAAGTTAATGAGGGAGGTAGCGTGACTGGAACCTCTCACGTTACCGGAACTCAGATACCACAAAATGCCCTCTTCGTTTTTTCTCATGCAAAGGCTGAGCTTGAATCTTAAAACGCTACCGCTGAATTCTCCGCTAAGGTAGTACAGCAGGAACCCCTCACTTTGCAAAGGAAGAAGTGGAAATCTAAAGAAGCTGTGAGGAGCCCCAGGCCTCACAGGGGCTTGGCAGCAACGCCTGCAGCGAAGCGCCGGCGTCCTCACCTGCGCCGCTCCTCGCGCTCCGGCCACTCCCCAGGGTCGCCCTTTGGATGAAGACGGACGTGGCGGCCGCTCCAAGCAGGAGCGAGACCGTCGCGCATCCCAGACACCGGCTTTGGGTAAACCAGAGACCTGCGCTCATCCTGGCCCCGTAGTGTAGAACCATCCAAGCTCCTCACCGTCCACCTTCCTAAAGGAGGAAAAAGAGCAAAGGGCCCGCGAACGAGCAGAGGCTACTTCCGCTTCCGGTTAGAATGTAGGCTCGCGGGAAAGACCTTGGTTCTCTATGAAACGCAAGAGAAACTTGGACAAAGCAAAGCAACGTGTTTGTCTACCAGGCTAGTTAACAGCAGAGGGGTGCCAGGGGGCCCTCCACGAGCTGAATTCCAGAGAGAAGGAGCCTCTTCCGTGAAGGACCTGCTTCCATACCTGGGGGAGGGGCGAGGACCGGTATGAGGAGATGGAGGGGCTCCTGCTGGAGTTGGGGGGACCTTGAGGAGCTCCCGCTTGAGCCTGAGGCGACCGTGCGAGCTGGCATCTGGGGGAGCCCCAAGCAAATCACGCAGCCCAATAGTTCTCCCCGCCTGTACCACACCCAGTCCCAGATTTTGCTGAGGAAGTGGCAGGGGAAGAAGAGCTGGAAAACACACCCTGTGGTGCCTGCACTTGGAAGCCCAGAGTTTAACCCAAAAGGACCCAAGGGCATCTGGAAGCACAGCTTAACCCTTCTTAGCACAACTGCTGACAAGATCAGAAAGGTCTGTCTACAAAAAGAAATAAAGAGCACCCCAAAGGGCAAATATGTGAATAAAAATGAAAAACTGTTTCTCATCAGTTCTTAATTTATTTAAAAAATAATTGTGGCAAAAATAATAGCAATGTGCTATGGAGTTTATAACATGTAGAAGTAAAGTACATAGCATCATAGCGCCAAAGATGGGGGTAATAGATATGAATTTATTGTTAAAACCTCATATTTGTAGTAATGTAAGATTAATCCGGTGTATTTCATATTAAGGATGAAAATTTTAATCTCTAGAGCAATCATTTAAAACAAAGCAGCCAGGTATGATGGCTCATGCCTGTAATCTCAGTGGGAGGATCACTTGAGGCCAGAATTTCGAGACCAGCCTGGGCAACATAGCAAGACCCTGTCTCTTAAAAATAAAAATTAGCAAAATTAAACCAGTCATGGTGGTGTGTACCTATAGTCCCAGCTACTTGGGAGGCTGAGGCAGAAGGATCACTTTGAGCCCAGGAGTTTGAGATTGCAGTGAGCTATGATGACACTATGATGACAGGGTCTTTGTAGCTTGGGTGACAGAGACTCTGTCTCAAAAATAAATAAATAAATAAAAATATGAAATAAAAAGCAAAGGGGCTATTTTTAAAAATCTCTTTCCTGCTCTCTCTCTCTCTTTGGAGAGAAGTGAATGGATGTAATGTCCAGATGTGCCACTGGGATGAAGGTTCTCATTCCCCAGCTGCTACAAGAGTTGGCTACTGTAGCCTCTCTCTAACCCCTCTCCAGAATTGCCCTTATTCCTAAAAGCAGCCTCACCCAAGGATCCATCCCTCACCTGGGGACAGCCTGCATCTTACTACTTGCTGATGTGGGGGGACATAGCATTCCAGCCACCTTGCCTCAACTGGGGAAAGTCCAGCTCCAGAGCTCCCCATGGGATTGGGTGAGGCCTTGGTTGCAACTGGATCCCAGGATCACCTCTGCCTCCCCCCGTCCCCACCTGTTCCTGCTTTCCTCACCCCTCACAGGGTTGGTCCTGTGACCACTCTCTGGAAACCTGCACACAGTTCATTTGCTGGGGAACCTGACCTCTGAATGTTGGTCCCAGGAGTATGTTGGAACTAGGTCACCTGCCAGCAGCTCTAAGGAGGACTTCATCGATGGTGGTAGGTGCTTGCAGTCATGGTGCACTTGTTAAAATTTTCAGTGGTGGTGAACCAGGACATGATACCTATGAGGGTAATGCTCTATTGGATGTGGGATCTTAGGCATTGAAGAGTTTTGGGGGAAAGAATAATTATAAGAACTATTGAATTAGATGGTTGTTGCTGGATGCTATCAATGTATTGGAGAAAAATATAATAAAAGGCTGATGGTGGTTAAGCAGCAAGATAAAGAAAGTATGAAGACTAAAGGACCTCCTTGGCAGCATATGAAGACCTTCATCCTCTGCAACTATAGGGCAGAGACAGCTGAGAAGCAGGTACTGGGTTTAACTATAAGAGTAGAAGAGTTTAAAAGAACATTAAAGTCTCAGCCCTGGCAGGTCTGCAAGGCCAAGGTCCTTGGTTAGGAAAGAGTGGGAGGGGACATCTGGGTTGATGTATTAAAACCTCTAAATCCCTAGATCCTCTGGAATTCTCTAGGCCTGAAAAAGTATCATAGTCTTCTCCTTAAAGGTTGATGCCTGCCTTTGCAAGAAGACAATGATGAAGTTCTGGTTTGCAAGACAATACACAGTAAGTCCAGCCCCTGTCCCTTGTAGATCTACACCCAGCTCTGCTCCTGGTCAACAGCCCCATAAGTAGGGTCAAGTCGCAATGTAACCTGGCCAGGGCAGTGTGATCCACTGTGAGAGAAAGGTGCTATAGACAAAGGAGCTGCGGGACCCAGATGACATGTCCAATGGAAGCCAGGAGAGAATGCATGGGAAGGAGTGGTGAGGTTGCTGGAGACAAAACGCAAAGTTGGACAGGGAAAATGCATTGATATGGAAACATTCTCCTTTGATACAAGGTTAGATGGAGCTAATATCCTGAAAGCTTAGAAAATGCAATGCTAAGTGTCAGCAGATGCTCGATCTGCCATGGAGGATGAGGAAGGAAGGGTTCAAAAGGCTGAGAGAAGTGGGCACACTGGAGTGGGTATGCCATGTGAGGCCAGAGAACCCAATAGCTGCTGGTTCTACAGGAGGGCCTGGAGGAACACTGCATTTGCCAAAGCGAAAGAATGCATGGTGAGAAGGAAGTAGCTTGAAGGAGCTGAGTAGGGGCTCTTCTCTGAAGGCCAGGACTACTGGAGGAGATCCTGATGCACCGCGGGGCTCCCTGGTAACTGTGCTGCTGACAGAGGCCAGGGGGTGGCACTTCCTGTTCAATGCAAGGCATTTGTAATCGTCGGCCTAAGCAGCAGGCTAGGGAGCAGCAGCCAGAGCAACCAACCCACAGAGAGCTGTGGAAATGTGAAAAGAAGTTTGCATTCCCAGGGGGAAGACAGACAGGCAGCCTACAAAGTATTGCTCAGTCTATACAGCTAAAATAAATCAAGGATGGATTGTCAGGAAGCTGGGGACACAGACTGAAGAAGAGGCTAGTGCCCAGTCCTTCCCCCAAAAGGACCTGCGGCCATTTACTTGGGTAGCTGTACTTTGGGGAAGGTGAATGCTCAGACATCAGACATTTTGAGGATTTGGAGGATGCTAGATACAGGTTGTTGCTTACACTGGGACCTGGAATGTTACTGTTTACTCCATTTAGAGGGGGTGACTATAAGGCCCTGATATTAAATGACATCCTGGCCGAAGCCCAGTTCACTGTGGGTTCAGATACATCTTCTGAGCAGATACGCCAGGCTGGCAATGGCAATTACGGGGTCTAGATTTAGGATAGCAAAACTCACCAGAGTGGACAAAAGGCAGGATTATGTCTGATAGGGATGAGTTAGCAGTTAAGAGCATACGCTTTAAAATCAGGCAGAGTTGTATTCCGATCCCAGTTTTGCCACTCAATAACTAAGATTTTGGGTAAGTTAACCTCTCTGAGCCTCAATTTCCTGATATTTAAAATGGGAATATTATTAGCCTCCTCACAGAGTTATTTTCAATAAATGGTAAACTCTCAGCACAGGGGTGGCACTCCCTACATGGTAGCCTTTATGACCATAATTATTATGAAGAGGGTTTGGAAGGCCCCCACAATGAATTCTGACCCTGCAACCTTAGGCAGCTCCCACCTGGCCGGTGGCTGCCGAAGCCAGTGCTGGTGCACAGTATTGTCGCCATGGAAGCACCTTCACAAATGGGGGACACATATGAAAACATCATGTGAACCTCTGGGATGTGTCACCTGGAGGCACAATGGATGGCAAAACATCTGCTTTATTTTTGTTCAGAGCAAAGAGCTCAAGAAAAGTTGGGACTAAATTCTACAGACATCTTTCGTTCCTTTCTTGCATCTCTTTTCCTGGCCTGCAATGCTCTTGATAAAGAGACAGGACACTCATGACCTCAGTAGGCAGGACAGGCTGAAAACAGAAGCAGGTCTCAGGGGCATTTGGTTAACTTTGAGAATGATTGATTCTAGAATGCTCCAGTTATGCAGAACACAGCTGTCTCACAATCTCATGTATCTGGAATGTTTTAGAAAATTTTGGAAGTCAGTCCACAAAACAGTTCAGGAGTCAAAAGGGAAGTACGCAAGTGTACTCACAAGGCGCAGAGAGACGGGGAGAGGCCCTTTCTCTGGCCCAGAGACCAGGGCTTATCTGTTCCTACTTTCCTAACAGTGGTGTCACTTGCTTTCCCGTCCTCACAGCACGTTGAAAGCTGCACACTTGGGGAACATGGGGACCTCACAGAGGCGGGCACAGCAGTCTTACAAAGATGTGCAGACAGCAGAAAGTGAGGGAGACGAGAAAATCAGCACAGGACAGACATGAGAGATCAAAGGACAGGGCCGGAGCCACTGATGGAGAAGCAGCAGCGCCGTGGCACACCCAGGCTGCCTGCGTTCCCGGAGACCCTTTCTAGGCCAGAGCTCGGAAATATTCACCAACTGCGGACAACTTTTCCTCCCTCACGGGAAACAAGTGGAAATGGATTCTGGCCATCTGCCACTGGTTTCAGAAAGATCCAAGCAAGGTCTGTGTGCACCTGCCTTGCAAAGCAATGATCAATTTCACATGATTGCAACAAACTGGACAAAGTTCCTAGGAGAAATTTTTGCCCAAAAGTAGTGCTCACTGGTTGTAATGTTGCCACTTAAGTTCAGAGGGGGACTCACCCATTCAAAGTGCCTCCGGTGGGGTTTGGGACTTTATAATTGCGTGTCCTCACCACTGTGGCAGCCTAAATAATGACTCCCAGAGACATCAAGGCCTGGACTCCTGGAACCTGCAGTAGTTACCTTACGTGGCAAACAGAATTTTGCAGATATAATTAAGGTAAGAATTTTGAGATAAGGACATTATCCTGGGTTATCTGAGTCGGCCCTAAGTATAATCACAAGTGTCCTTATAAGACACTTGAAGGAACATTTATAAATCTGAAAGAGAAAGAAAGAGTGAGAGGTAAATACAGAGGAAGAAAAGGTGACATGATGACCAAACAGTGGAAGAGACGGTGGGAGATTGGAGGACGCTTTGCTACTGGCTTTGAAGACAGAGGAAGGACCCACGAGCCAAGGAATATACAGGTGGTTGCTAGAAGCTGAAAGGCAAGGAAAAAATTCTCCCTTGGAGCCTCCTGAGGTCACCAAGCAAACATTGGTACAGGAGGGGGAGGGGTTCAGTGCTGGTCAGAAACGTGAAGAAATAATTCATGGCTCAGGCAGACACCCATAACCATGGAAGAAGCAGAGGTCTACAATGTAGCAACATTTGCTTGTATAATATCATTATATTACAGGATAATATCATTTTTAAGACAATATCATTTTGTATAGAGAAAAAAGGGGCAACAGAAAAACTCTGGCCTCTA